GAAATATATGTTTACAATGGAACAAAGCACATTTGCCAAAAAATAACTCAGCTCCACTTAGTTCATCCATTAGTAAAATTACTTTTCATTCTGTCATGCAATTCATAGTTATGCTTTTAAAAAATGTACAAATATATCATCATAAAAATCTCGTATATGTATACAAAACACAAAAAGCATGTTAAGGTCAACGAGGTGTGACGCGTTGCATACATTTAGGGGCATTAATGCTAGAAGCAATGGTAAATCGGTCAACAGAGCAGCAGACTCTTCGTATGAATCTAATAATCTAAATGCCAAATCTACAATTTAAACATTTACACACAGACATAAGCTATAACTATACACAGTTGTTGTTGTTGTCTCAGTTGCTACTACACTAAGGGTGCAGCGAAAATTGCTCGAATATCTAATAAAGCAGCAGAAGCCGAAGCAGCAGTAGAGTGGAAGAATAGTTGAAAAGCCTTGTAGCCTCGTTTAACTAGCATGACTATGCAAATAAAAATATTATTTAGCGCATTCAAAATGGAAAAAATTTGAAAACAAATTAAAAAAAAAAAAAAAAAAAATCATAATAGCAAAATAAGAGAAGAGATTTCTTACGAAATAAGACTTAATGGATTTTGGGTGCGGTTCAGAAACGCAAAATTGCAGTGCTCAAACGTCGGACAAATAACGCTCGAAAATGCAATAAAATTGAATGTAGGCAAAGAAGGAAGGAAAGCCATGGCAAATGGCAAATGCGAAGAAAAGATTTAGTCATAAATATTTGTTGTTATAATGGGTTGTTGTGGTTTTAGAGTAAATGACGCTTGGCCATGTGATGCCCAAATTTGATTACCCAACCCCTTTTAGTCATTTCGTGCTTTTAATGGCACTTGAGCCGCTCATTAAATAAGCATAAATTGCTTTTTTCCACACTTAATTTTTTTTATTTGTATTTTTTTAATTCGTAATAAATACATTTACCACTAATTTAATGGAAGAGACATTTGTTTGCCTTCAGACCATTAGTTGGTTAAGAAAGTTTTCTTCATATTTTATATGTGTGTATTTGTCTGTTTACATTGCGGCCACGCAAGCGAGTCAGCCAAGGTCAGTAGTTCAATGGCAAATTGGTGTCATAACTTTTTGGCTCAAATATCAATATGTGAATTTATAACTTTTTTAAATGGTTGCCACATGCCGATAAGCCTAAAAAATACATACATATGAATGATAAGCAGTAAGGCTCGGATATTGCTGGTGAAAAGGTACTAGTTGTTAGCTGAAATGCAACTAGTTTTAGTTTTTACACATTTTAAAAATTATTGATTGGAGACCGGGATGACCACAAAAATGGCAATTGCTCGAATATGTACCATACCAGTAAAAGACTAGTTCATTTATGTATGTTGAGCTTTTCCTTCTTTTTCTGCCTCCTATACTCCTTCTTCCTTTTATTCTTATTCTTCCCTTACACCTCTTCTTTTCCATCTACTTCCTCTTCCTCTTCTTCTTCCTCTTCTTCTTCATCTTCTTCCTCTTATTTTTCCTCTTCTTCTTCCTCTTCTTCTCCCTCTTCTTTTTCCTCTTCTTCTTCCTCTTCTTCTTCCTCTTCTTCTTCATCTTCTTCTACCACTTCTTCTTTTTAATTTTATTTTTCGTATTCTTCTTTTTTTCCTCTTCTGGTTCTTCTCGCTCTTCTTCTTCTTCTTCATCTTTTTTGTTTTCTTCTTCTTCCTTCTTCGTTTTTCGTTTTCTCCTCCTTTCTTCTACTTCCCTCTCCTCCTGTTTTTCGTCTTCTTTCTCCTCTTCTTCTACTTCTTTTCCTCCTTCTTCTCCCCTTATTATTCTTATACCTTCTTTTCCTCTTCCTCTTTTTTCTTCTTCTTCCTCTTCCTGTCCTCTTCCTTTTCCAGAAAATATTTCTGCAAACTTCTTTGAGAATAACGTTGATGTACGGATAGATAGACAACTAGTATTATTACACCATTTAAATACCAGTTTTATACTAGTTTTTACTACTAGTTTTATACTAGTTATATCATACACCAGTTCACGGTATAGTTCTTGTATGTGCATGTGTGCATCACTGCTGTTAGTTCACAAAAATCTCGTCGTCCCTTTTGACAAGCTTGTTTGCATGATGAACATGCATTTCGTAGTCTCATCATTACCAGCTTTTGCTTTATTAACCATTTTCGTGTTTTTCCATGTCATTCATGTCATTTCCTTTTTGCTTCTCAGCAATGATTACATCCAAAGTTAATTTTATTATTTTTTTTTTTTTCTTTTTGTCTTACTCCTTTTCGAAAATTTAGCACCAACACTGATTTGTCATTTAACATGCTGGATGGTCATCGTAAAATTTGCTCTCTCACTCTTTATTAGCCACTTGACCTTAACACATAAAAGAAACGCACCCAAAAACTAACCTTCAGCACGTAAGACTAGCTCCGTCTATCTGGCTATCGCTTGAATACATATTTTAATGCATTTGCCATTACTCTTGGTTTTTTTTTTTTTTTTTTTTTTTTGATACTAACCGCAACACTATCCTTTTTTGCTCACTCCTTCAATTAAATATGCATGTCCTTCGTCAAACCCTATTTTAATTCTTTTTTTTTCTTTTACTCCTTTTTTTCTCTGCCTTTTTTTCTCCACACATAACTATGCATATGGTCTCTCTTAGAAAATAACCCTTCCCTTATTCATTCACAATTTTCCAGAAATTTTACAATCTCATTATAAAGCTGTTATTTTGTTGTTGTTCTTAATCGTGTTGTTGGTGATATTATTACAAAATTTGTGTTGTCATATTTATGACATATTGACAGCTATCGAAGAATTTATTGCCAGTTAACTTGTATCCACACTCATGCACATATATATTCACACATTCACATATTTATTAATGCTTATGTATTTACATATATATGCACATATTTACATATAACCAGCCTCGAATTTCTTATTACCTCATTAATTTTTCACCCAAAGTCACGCTCATTCTCCCACTAACTTATTATAGCATTCACTCTCTCTCTCTCTCTCTCTCACGCTTTTGTGCTCATAAAATGACACTTTGTCATTGCTAAAAGTCTTCAATGTCAAAGCCATCACTTTTGACTGCTTAAATTGGTTAGCTTCTTAGTTAGTTAAGTGGCTGGTGATTTAGCTGGTGGGATTAATTCATTAAAAGCAAATTTTCGTAGAAATATGGTTCGTTAAGGCGAGTGATTAACTCGGAGCATTTCAAATACATACACATTTATATTTCGTATAAAATTTTTTTTTTGCTGGTAGAAAGAAGAAATTTGAGTTTAAAAAATATTTGGTTTAATTTATTTATACCGATTTCTTAACTTTTAAATGCCTACACATCTTCGAGTCCTAGTAAAAAGTCACGCATTATTTTTTTCATTAAATTCAAGGTTTTATCCACCACAGCCAGCCGGTTATGTGTCGCTTTACTTGACAGCTCTTCACCATTTTGATGGTAATGTCATTATGTCTCTCCTCTAACGAAACCCTGGTCCCTATTGACAGATATTTGGGACAATCAATTTTTAAAGCTCCCTCTTGGGGCCAGTACTCCAACCTAAATCATTCGCATTAACTGAAAGAGATGGCATCCCCGTGGTGTGAGTTCCGAACTATAAGGTGAATACCTAACAACCTCACAACCGAGCTCTCGGAGCTTCTGGCGAGTCACTATCGTTATGTGTAGTCTAGCGTTGTCCTGATGAAACACAATTCCCTTGCTGTGGGCCAAAGTTAAACCTTTCTGAGCGTTTAATACCTACAGACCGTGCAATTGCTGAGGGTTTGGACGTAGGGACCATCACCGTTTTCATTTGACGTTGCTACCATCACCTCCTGCTAGTTTAATTCTACTCTATCCTTGCCTTTATACAGCTCAGCAAAATTGCCAAAGGATAACTTCTACTCTAACTGATTAAATACTTTCTTCAATTGTGTCGCTATAAAATTATTAAACACTCGACAGATATCCAGAAAGACCCCTAGAACAGATTTCTAAAGCACATAGGTTTGCTTTTTTATATGTAGAGATATAAGTCCTCTCTCTAGAGAACGTGGAAAGCAGCATTCTCTAAGCCTCTTGAGTCTACCCTGTTAAAATACAATATGTTCTCTTTCTGTCTTGACTTTCATGATGATATCAGCTGAGACGTGTTTGGCTTTGTAACTTGCGGAATATGGATCTATAAAAGGTCAGATGGACAGTCATATAGACACAAGTGTGGATAGATCCATGAGTGGGCTCACAGATATATGAAAGGATCGTTAGATTGACAAGCGGAAGGATAAATGTTTGAATTGGTGAATAGACGGGCGGGTAGGCATTTGTATGAAGGAATGTATAGATATTTAAATGTACCAAAAGGCCTTTGGTGCGACGGACGAATAGAAACACGGATAGTTAAATGGACTGATAGACCGACTGTTGGATGAAATACCGGCTGAACGAATAGATATTTAAACGGGCAGATAAATGGATCGCCAGAGAGATAAATCGATGAAAAGATATAAGGTTGGAAGAAAGGATGAAGAGACATATGCATGGAAGAATAAATGGCAGTACAGCTGTCTACTGTAAGGATAGGTATATGAATTGTTGGATGGATGGAAGAATCGATGTATAAATGAACAGACGAATTTTGGATTGACCACGTTCGGGAAGTAGAGTGAATTGTGCTCTAACTCTCCTAAAATCCACCTCACAATATACAGCAGAGTATGGAACATTAAACTTTCTTCTCTTCAAATTTAGCAAATCTCATCTTTTCATTATATTTTCTAGAATTAAAATTAACATTTTCTGTAAGAGAATTAGATGTAGTGAATTTCTAAGATATAGTTGTTCGAATATTTTTATATAAATAAAATAATTACAATAATTAATTAATTATAAATATTAATTTTATTAAGACTTTAAACATTTTTTAATATTAATATTTCTCTTAATAATTTAAATACTTTTATCTTTTTTCCAGAATGGCCATAACACACTAAGGATACAGCGAATTTCTAAATGTTCCTGTCCAACCACATAGAACCAACTACCACCACCAACAAAAACAAACAAAAAAAACCCGAAAATTGTCCTGCTAAAGGCATCCTACTGAAAGTGAAGGGAAGATAATGAACGAAATAAAGTAAAATAAAATTGAATAGAAATTAAGAAAAAGTACTATAAGCATAGATAATAATTAAAATAAGCAAAGGCAGATGAAAACAAGCAAAAAATAAAATAAAGCTAAAACCAAAATTTGTAAAAAGAAATCACCATAAACTGAGACAAAAATTTGTTAAAGATATAATGCTTAGATAGAAGAAGAAATCCCCATTTGAAAACATAAATTTGTATTTAAAAAACATCTTAACTCTTTTATATAGCTTAAAGAATTTTCTTCTCTTGTTTTTTTTTTTTTTGTTGTTTAAGAACTAAATTTTATTTGTGTTATTTCCGTATCCTTTGAAATGTGCAATATAAAATATGTTTCTACGAAGATCTGTTTAGAAATAGACTAAATACATACATACAAAAATACGATATTTGAAATATGCAATAATATTTGGAAAATACAGTTATACAAAGAAAACAATAAATAAAGTGTACTGCATAAATCTACAAACAAATAGACAAATATACATAAATGTAGCTGTAAAAATATAAATAATTGATATATGCATAAAAATAGCAAAATAATATTATGGTATACCATTATATATGTATATGTATTGAATATAAAAATAAACAAACTGTATTATATGGTAGCAGAAGGCATATATATACGTATATATATATTATTATTAAGTATACAACTTTATATACTGTATGTACTATGCATTTCTAAGTGTTTAGCTAAGCTTCTGAAAAATATATATGTATGTATATAAAGAGAAATATATAAGAAAAAGCAAATTATTTAACATTATTAAGCCTACAAATTAAAATAAAAAGAAGGAAAAAAATATAATTAAATAAAATCAAATTAAAAAAGTTAGATACATTAAATATAAATAAAACTAAAATAAAATATACCATAAAAAATTAAAATAAAATAAATGAAAATTATCATTTTTTATTGAAATAAAATAAAATTAAATAAAATAAAATTAAATTAAATTAAAATAAAAAAATAAAATATATAATATAATATTAAATTAAATACAAAAAAATCAGATGAAATAATATTCAATAAAAAAAAAATAATTAAAGAAAATTAACAAAACTAAAACCAAATAAAATAAAATAACATTAAATTAAATCAAATTAAATAGAATAAAATAAATAAATATTAAAATTTTTTATTAAAATAAAATAAACTATTACAAAATAATAAAATATATATCAAATAAAATAAAAAAATAAATAAAATTAAATTAAATTAAATACAATAAATTCAGATAAAATAATATAAAATAAAATAAAGTTAATTAAAATAAAATTAACAAAACTAAAACCAAATAAAATAAAGTAACATTAAAATAAATGAAACAGATAAAATTAATCTAAATTAATATGAAATAAAAAATTTTAAAATTATACAAAGTAAAACAAAGTTAAATAAAACAATAAAGAATTATACAAAACTATATTAAATAAACTTCAATAAAACAAGAAACATATAAAAAGTTTTCTAAATATAAACTAAAATCAAAAAATATATTAACGTAAAATAAAAAAAAAAAAAATAATACAACATAAAGCAAAAATATTTATAATAAAAATAATAAAATAAAACTGATTGAAAATATGTAAATTAAATAAACTTCAATAAAATTTTATTAAACTAAATTAAATAGAACAAAAAAAAAATAAACTAAAATTGAAAATATTTACTTAATAAAAAAAAAATTAAATTAAATTAGATTATGTTATTTGATACTAAAGACATTAATTCGAAATAAAATAAAATAAAATAAAATATAATAAAATAAAATAAAATAAAATATAATAAAATAAAATAAAATAAAATAAAATAAAATAAAATAAAATAAAATAAAATAAAATAAAATAAAAAAAAATAAAATAAAATAAAACCAAATTAACGTAGTAATTAATAAAAATTAAAAAATAGGGAAGAAAACAAAATCAACTATATTATTGTAAAATAAAAAAGTAAGGTAAAACTATATAAATTTAAATTAAAAAAATAATAACATAAAATTGTACAAAAAAATATCATATAAAATAAAAATTATAATATAAAACTCATAAAAAATTAAATTTAATTAAATTGATTTAAATAGAACATGATAAATTAAATAAAAAAATAATGAATCAGAATTAATTAGTTTAATTTAATTAACTTAATATAAAATTAAAAAATAAATTTATATAAATTAATATAAAACAAAAAACGATACAATAAAACCAAATAAAAATAAATAATAAAAAAAAAAAATTAAATAGAACAAGATAAAATAAAACAAATTTTTATAGCATAAAGTAAAATTAAATAGAATAAAATAAAATGAACTAGTTAACTAAAATTTTTTAAACAAAATAAAAATAAAAATATATAAAAGTATATTAAATTAAAATAAGTAATAATGAAAAAATAAAAATGTTGAGATACAATAAATTAAACTAATTAAAAATAAAAGAGTAAAGCAAGATTAAATTAATTAAAACTAAATAAAATGAAATAGAAAATTAAATATATATATAATAAATTAAACACTTTAATAATAAAATCAGAGATAATAATAAAAGAATACAATTTAATTTAATAAAATAAACCGAAAAAAATAAAAAGGCAGAACCAAAAACGAAACAATAACGATTGTATCATACTTGATGGAAATAATATTGATAGTTAAGGCTTAGCATTTCCAAGTATGCAGAAGAGAGGACTAGATGCTAATGCAAGAAATAAAACGCAAAAAGACAATAGTATCAGCATTCATTCATTATTGTGATTTAAAGCATTTATGCAATAGTATTTCTCAAAAAGATAAATAAGTTTCATCAGCCTAGCTCAGCTTTGAAAAATCTCCCATTCCCTATCAGGCTTATTACCAATCATTTCTAGAGATAAAATTTAGTTCTCTTTGCAAAAAAATTATTCTCTTTCTTGTATGTGCAAATGTAAGAAAAATTCAATATAAAACTTTTTAAATATTTTTACGCAATAATATAATACTGATCAAAAATATGTAAATTAATCAACTGTACAAACCGCTGTTTTTCTATGCTACTGATAACGACTTAAAACACATAAAAACGGGACGTGCAGTAAAAAGGTATTAAACATGTTAGGTAACACTATATATATATATATTTTTTAATAATTGGAGCGTATGTTAGTCCAAAGTGTAAATTTATTTCCAATTTACTTGAAAAAAAATTATGCCAATACTGCTATTGTACATACATAAATATTGATATATTCATACTACAGAGCAAAGCTTCTAACTGCTTACACAACACGTGCAGGAAAAAATTTAGCATAAATTTATAACCAAAAAAAGTTGATAAAGTGAAATATATAAAAATAACAATGTATATGCATTTGTAAATACAAACTTTGTAATTAATTTGAAAATACTGCAACCCATTATACACACCTAATCTATCACATAAATTGACAAAGAAGCGAAATAAGGAAAAAATGAATTAAAAAAACTTTTATGTAGTATATACATATGTATATACAAGAGTGCGCAGAGTTTTTGATAATAAATTAATTTAAATGTACGGAAATATCGAAGTTTGTTACAAAAAAAAAGAAGAATTATAAATGGATCACCCTATTACTCGCTTATACTCTATGAAACCACAGCCAATATAATTTTGATTTATTTTATTTCCGAATGGTGCTTGTGAACCAGCTAATTTTCGTCATTTAATGTACTTGTATGTAGCTACCAAAGGAAGATAAGTCTAAAAATAATAACAAATAGAACTATATACATATAAACGAAAGATAACGAAATAAATCGAAAAGAAAAGTCAAACGAAACTGTAACTGAAAAAACATTTTCATTTAAAAAAGGATTTAAAAAATTAGGGTAAGTAGTAGAATATAAATCTTTAGCAACTAAATTTCAGTTAATGCATAAAAGTTAAAGAAAAAAAACCAATTGAGTAAAACTGAAAAGAAAACAATTAACAGAACAAAACAAAATCAAATATATTAAAATAAAATAAAATAAAATAAAATAATATAAAATAAAATAAAATAAAATAGAATAAAAACAAAATATAGTGAAATAAAATAAGTTGAATAAAAAAAAAAACATATAATAAAATGTAAATAAAATAATTTAAAACAAAAAAAATAATAAACTAAACTTAAAATTAAAAAAAATTAAAATACAATTAAATAAATATAAAAAACGAAACAAAATTAAGTAAAATAATATAAAAATATAAAATCCAATAAAATAAAATGAAACTAGAACAAACTAAAAAGAATACGATTAAAAGAAGAATAAAAATTGAGTATAACGAAGTAAGATATAATAAAACAAAATTGCATAAAACGACATAATATAAAATTTAAAACAATATAAATAAAATAAAAAAAATTAAATTAAATTCGATCACAAAAAATAAGAATTAAAACTAAATAAAATAAAAAACTAAACAAATTTAAGAAAATCAAAGTTAAACAATAAAAATCATAATACAATTAAAAAAAATTATTTACAGCAAGCAACATAACATAAAAAAAATCAAAGAACCGATATAAAACAAAATAAAATTCAATTAAACAAAAAATAATTAAAATTTAAAACTTAAAACTAAATTATATAAAAGAACTGAACATATTTAAGTAAAATTAAATAAAATTAATTACCTTAAAATACAACATTAAGTTACATTAAATAAAATTAATTTAAGTAAATAAAATTCAGATAATTTAGAATAACATAAAATATAATAAAACAAAGTAAAATAGACACAAAAAATAAAAGAAACTTGTATATAATATAATAAATAAAATAACATTAAATTAACTTAAATTAATTTAATTAATATAAAATTAAAATTAAAAAAATCTGAATTATGTTAAAGACAATAATATCATAAAATAAATTATAAACAAATTATAAGATAATTATAATAAA